CGTCTCCGCTCCCCACTCTCGGGGAGAAATCCACTATCACAACCGGGTTTTCTACGTTCACCCGAATAATGTTTACACCTCACACTAGGTTTTCTAGCTAACCGAAAACTTTACAATCACCACTCTTGCAATCTTACTCTACACCCTCTCAAGTGTTGAACTAGACGTGTCTCCCTCAAGTGCTCGGTTACAACCTCTTCCTAGGTTCGTCAACCGATGCCACTCCTCTTGGGACGATCCCCAGCTCTCGCCACACACTTCTCTCGGTGTACAAGTGTATTACAAAGTGAATCTCACAATAAGGCTCAATACAATAAATGTTTGTTCTCTACTATGGATGAGAACACAATGAAAGCTCACACTCAATTGTTACAACTCTCATCAACCCAAAATATATTATGAACGTAAATACAATAAGCTCAAGTGGGTGTGTGTAACAATGAGATAAAATCAAATCTAAATCAAATAGCAAACTAGCAATAATAAGAATATGAAAATCAATAATAAAATTGCTAGAGAAAAGAGTTAGAAAACTTCTCAATAGATCAAGAGGTAGAAGGAGAATAGTTGGATGCCCAAACACCAATAGATGATCTCCTCAAGCTCTTGTGAAATTGATTTCTCAAACTTCCAAATGCTTAAAATCTTCTTAAACACACTTAAACCAAACTAAAACCCTTGTTAAAACTCTTTTAAACTTGGTTAAAAACTCTCTTAGATGATAGAAAATAGTTATGGCAAAGGGGTATATATAGGCTTGAAGAAACCAACCCCAAAAACCCCAAAAAACCATTAAAAAACAAAAAGATGGAGATTGGAGCCCAAACAAGAAGATGATCTCCTCCACTTGTGAAAACAATCTTCAAACCAAACAAACACTAAAACACACTTAAACCCTTGTTTAAAACTCTTTAAACTTGTTTAAAACATTTCTTGAGTACCCTTAGAAGTATGATGGCATGGAGTATATATAGGCTCATGAAACAAGCCCAAAAACCCAAGAAAACCAAGCAAAAAGACAAAATAATGGATATATCAAAATCTGAAAAATATATCCGTTGTGCTATAGTAACCACGTCCAGAGAGTTGGGCGGTCGACCGTACCGGTCGACCGCGGGTACTATAGCACTATGTATCAACTTTGTAAAATCAATTAAAAATAGTAAAACAGCTCAAAAAAATATGAAATTTTGTGGGAAGGTTCTAAACATGTAGAATAACATGTTAGAGAAAGAATTCCTGAAAAATCATTTCCCAGTTGAGATAAATAAATGTTTGAACACAGATTTACAGTTTCTGAAAAACTGCTGACATACACGATTTTGTAAAATCAATTGGGCACAGTAAATCAACTCCAAAAATAGTAAAATTTTGAGAAAAGTTTCTAAACATTCATATAAACATGTAAAAGAATCAATTCCAAACTTGATAAAACTTTGCAAAATGTTTATAAACATGAAAAAAAACATGTTACAAAAAAAATTTCAATTTTCATTTCTCAATTGTGAAAACTCATTATTTTGTAAAAACATGCATGAATATGAATTTGTTAAGAACATGTTTTTGACAAAAAGAGTTTAAACGCATATTGAAACTTTATGAAATATCTTCATAAACATTATAACACATGAATATAAAGTAAACATGGTCAATAAAACAATATCACAAAGTTTTCTCAAAATAGCTCATTTTGTGAGAAAATCCAATATTGTGTGTGTATATGATATTGAGCTTAGAGTACTTGATCTTGATCTTTCATTGTAGCTCAACTTGGTACACATGCGGATGAAGCTTGAACTTGATCTTTAACTATGAATTGCAAGGTTTCAACCCGACATTCCACCAACCTCCATTTGATATGATCGTTGAAGCTCTATTCCATCCATCCTCCAACCACGTTGCTTGTCTACAATATATAGAAAAATACAAATACTAGACAAACAACATTAGTGGTAAATTGTTTGTTAAACATCATCAAAATAAGAAGACCAACAAAATTGATGTAGCAAAAGAATACAAACAGTTCAAACAGTTTACGAAGCGTTCAAACAGTTTACGAAGTATCTTGTTTGGAAAATTGAAAAAGCACGGAGAGTTAGTTCAAATATCAAGGAGAACTTTTTATTTTTTTATATTTTTTATTTCAAATTTAATAAGAAGAACTTTTGCAGAAACTTGACAAGTGGCACTTATAAGGAGAGATTAATAAGCACTTGCCACTTGGCGTTT